AATTCTCTCGTTTTCTGGTACAGATTTGGGATTTTTGTTGGCATTTCTGGTTCTGCCGCCTTTCGAATCCATTTCCTGTTTCTTACCTTTTGACGTCTGCATAAACACAGGCCGTTCCCTTGACTCCCTCCTTGACCCGAAGGAGAGATGGTAAACAGAGGCAGGAGATGAAAGGAGGAGGAGAGCCTCTTCCTTCCTTGACATCTCCTGCGAGTTGGCTCTCCTTTGGGGCCGAGGGGAGGGTGTGGGGCGCCCCAGGCACTCCTTTGTCTCTGGCCATAAACGTTCAGCCAAGCAAGGAAAATGCCGCACACCTGTCTCTTCTGTCAAGCCGTCATCTACGGATTATAATGGTTTTTACATGATGGGTTTGTGACAGGCGCTTTTCTCCTTCTCCTGAGCTCAACACATCCGACGTCTCGCCTTCAAAAAATAATAACAAGCGTCCAAAAACAAAGAAACGCTCAACCGGAAAATTTCACTCTCTGTTGAGAATGAGCCAACATTTAGAAGCAAACACATAAAACTTTAGGGCTGGTTGTTTGCTTTCGGGCAGGCCAAGCTTGGTCAACAAAGCCTGTGAACAGGGGGGCGTCTACACTGTAGAACCAGCATGTTTCGGCACCACTTGTGGCTCAATGCAAGAAAAGAGATTCTTCCTGGTTGTGAGAGCTGTTCAGCAGTGGAACTCTCTGCCCTGGAGGGAGTGTGGTGGAGGCTCCTTCTTTGGAGGCTTTGTATCAATTACAGGAGTTGACTATTTGTTTGAATTCTTCTTTGGTGATTTCTCCCTTTTTCCACTTCTTGTGCATGTCTCTTTTGTGTCTAAGCACAGTTAGAAGTCCTGCGCTTATTTACGAGGGTTGAATGAAAAGTAATACCTCCAATGAGCCAACATTTAGAAGCAAACACATAAAACTTTAGGGCTGGTTGTTTGCTTTCAGGCAGGCCAAGCTCGGTCTACAAAGCCTGTGAACAGGGGGGCGTCTACACTGTAGAACTAGCGTGTTTCGGCACCACTTATGGCTCAATGCTATGGAAAGTCCTGGGACCTTCCATAGCAAACTACAAGAAAGAAGATTTCATCTGAATATTAGGAAGAACTTCCTGACTGTGAGAGCTGTTCAGCAGTGGAACTCTCTGCCCCGGAGGGAGTGTGGTGGAGGCTCCTTCTTTGGAGGCTTTGTATCAATTACAGGAGTTGGCTATTTGTTTGAATTCTTCTTTGGTGATTTCTCCCTTTTGCCACTTCTTGTGCATGTCTCTTTTGTGTCTTAGCACAGTTAGAAGACCTGCGCTTATTTACGAGGGTTGGATGGAAAGTAATGCCTCCACATGCTTCTTTGGCAGAATGGGGTTGGACTGGATGGCCCATGAGGTCTTTTCCAACTCTAGGATTCTATGATATAATCCGGTTTCTGAATTCAGATTAAGTTCTTCAAACCGCATCATTATTTTATTTTCATTGCTACTTCATGACTGTGATTTTGCTACTGTTATGAATCGTCATGTAAATATGTGATATGCAGGAGGTATTTCCATTCACCGGACCATATTTGGCACAAATACCCAATATACTCAAATCTGAATACTGATGGGGTTGGGGGAGGGACTTGATGTTGTCATTTGGGAGTTGTAGTTGCTGGGATTTATTGTTCACCTAGAATCAAAGAGTATTCTGCACTCCACTGACAATAGAATTGAACCAAACTTGGCACACAGAACTCCCATGACCAACAGAAAATACTGGAAGGGTTTGGTGGGGATTGACCTTGAGTTTTGGAGTTGTAGTTCACCTACATCCAGAGAGCACTGTGGACTCAAACAATGATGGATCTGGACCAAACTTGATATGGATACTCAGTATGCCCAAATGTGAACACTGGTGGAGTTTGGGGAAAATAGACCTTGGCATTTGGGAGTTGTAGTTGCTGGGATTGATTGTTCACCTACAATCAAAGAGCATTCTGACCTCTACTAAAGATGGAATTGGGCCAAACTTGTCCACAGAATTCCCATGACCAATAGAAAATACTGGAAGGGTTTGGTTTTGGAGTTGAGTTCTATATCCAGAGAACACTGTGAAGTCAAACAATGAAGATCCAGCACAGGCATGGGCAAACTTGGGCTTGACCTCCAGTTGTTTTGGACTCCAACTCCCACCATTCCTAACAGCCTCAGGCCCTTTCCTTTCCCCCCCTCAGCCTCTCAAGCATGAGTACAAGACTTTCCCAAAGATCTTAGACTTGAACATGGAACAAGACCCAAGATCCACACGATAATGCAGTGTTGCCTGATCTGACTCTTAAGGAAACAATCCTTTAATTCTCAAGATGGACCCTTACAGATATGTTTTGGACTACAACTCCCACCATTCCTAACAGCCTCAGGCTTTTTACTTTCCCCCCCTCAGCCACTTAAGCATGAGTAGAAGTCTTTCCCAAAGATCTTAGACATAGATGTGAACATGGAACAAGACCCAAGATCCACACGATGACGCAGCGTTGCCTGATCTGACTCTTAATTTAAGGAAGGGGCCTGAGGCTGTTAGGAGTGGTGGGAGTTGGAGTCCAAAACACCTGGAGGTCATGCCCAAGTTTGCGCATGCCCGATCTAGGCCCAGATCCTATTCCACAAAAGCATCTGTCTCAGAGTCTCTGTCCCAGCAGGAGGCAGCCTTGAGCCGAGCAGCTCTTCCATTCATATTATTATTCAACATCATCCTCTCCTTTCTCTCTGACAAAGATGATAAAGATACTCTTTCAGTCCAAATTGATGACTGGGTGTTTCCTAAAGCCAAACTGGAGTAATTGGTGGAATCATAGCATCATCGTGCTGGAAATAAAAAGGGCTTCTATTCTTATGTCAGTAGAAAAAGGAAAAACAAGGAGGCGATAGGACCTCTTCGCGGAGAAGATGGGGCAATGCTGACAGGGGATAGGGAAAAGGCAGAACTACTTAATGCCTTCTTTGCCTCGGTCTTCTCACAAAAAGAGAGTCTTCAACCTCAGCAAGATGGAGTGGATGAGGGATTGGAGGACATCCAACCCCAAATTGGGAAAGAAGTCGTCCAGGAATACCTGGCCGCTCTTAATGAGTTCAAGTCCCCTTTCAGGGCCAGATCAACTCCACCCCAGAGTATTGAAGGAACTAGCGGAAGTCATTTCGGAACCATTGGCAACCATCTTTGAGAGTTCTTGGAGAACGGGAGAAGTTCCAGCAGATTGGAGGAGGGCCAATGTGGTCCCAATCTTCAAGAAGGGAAAAAAGGATGACCCAAACAACGACCAATGTCCGGTCAGCCTCACGTCGATACCGGGCAAGATTCTGGAAAAGATTGTTAAGGAAGCGGTCTGCAAACACTTAGAAACAAATGCAGTCATCGCTAATAGTCAACATGGATTTATCAAAAACAAGTCATGCCAGACTCATCTGATCTCTTTCTTCGATAGAGCTACAAGCTGGGTAGATGCGGGGAATGCCGTGGATGTAGCGTACCTGGATTCCAGGAAGGCCTTCTTTGACAAGGTCCCCCATGACCTTCTGGCAAGGAAACTAGTCCAATGTGGGCTAGGCAAAACTACGGTGAGGTGGATCTGTAACTGGTTAAGTGGACGAACACAGAGAGTGCTCACTAATGCTTCCTCTTCATCTTGGAAAGAAGTGACAAGTGGAGTGCCGCAGGGTTCCGTCCTGGGCCCGGTCCTGTTCAACATCTTTATTCAATGACTTAGATGAAGGGCTAGAAGGCATGATCATCAAGTTTGCAGACGACACCAAATTGGGAGGGATAGCCAATAGTCCAGAGGACAGGAGCAGAATTCAAAACGATCTTGACAGATTAGAGAGATGGGCCAAAACTAACAAAATGAAGTTCAACAGTGACAAATGCAAGATACTCCACTTTGGCAGGAAAAACGAAATGCAAAGATACAGAATGGGGGACAATGCCTGGCTTGAGAGCAGTACGTGTGAAAAAGATCTTGGAGTCCTCGTGGACAACAAGTTAAACATGAGCCAACAATGTGATGTGGCGGCAAAAAAAGCCAATGGGATTTTGGCCTGCATCAATAGGAGCATAGTGTCTAGATCTAGGGAAGTCATGCTCCCCATGCTCTATTCTGCTTTGGTTAGACCACACCTGGAATATTGTGTCCAATTCTGGGCACCACAATTCAAGAGAGATATTGACAAGCTGGAATGTGTCCAGAGGAGGGCGACTAAAATGATCAAGGGTCTGGAGAACAAGCCCTATGAGGAGCGGCTTAGGGAACTGGGCATGTTTAGCCTGAAGAAGAGAAGGCTGAGAGGAGATATGATAGCCATGTATAAATATGTGAGAGGAAGCCACAGGGAGGAGGGAGCAAGCTTGTTTTCTGCTTCCTTGGAGACTAGGACGCGGAACAATGGCTTCAAACTACAAGAGATGAGATTCCATCTGAACATTAGGAAGAACTTCCTGACTGTGAGAGCCGTTCAGCAGTGGAACTCTCTGCCCCAGAGTGTGGTGGAGGCTCCTTCTTTGGAAGCTTTTAAACAGAGGCTGGATGGCCATCTGTCAGGGGTGATTTGAATGCAATATTCCTGCTTCTTGGCGGGGGTTGGACTGGATGGCCCATGAGGTCTCTTCCAACTCTTTGATTCTATGATTCTATGATTCTATGAAAGGGACCACAAGGAGCCATCCAGTCTTACCCATCTGCAATGCAGGAGTACACCATCAGAACCCTCCCGACAGATGGCCACCCAGCCTCTGTTACTATGGCAGTTTAAAGTGGAATCATATTGTTAGAATTGCATCGTTCAGATGAGGTTGGGGCCCCATCTACACTGCCACATAAAATCCAGATTATCTACTTTGAACTGGATTATATGGCAGTGTAGACTCATATAATCCAATTCAAAGCAGATAATATGGATGAGAAAGATCCAGATTTCATGATGAATTTATGATTGATGTTTGTCCCATGAGCCTCAAGATCTCTTCCTTTCTTTTGCAGTGACATCTTTGATGCCATGTTCCCCGTGACACACATTGCTGGAGAGACCGTCATACAACAGGGTGAGCTCTCTCAGGTCATGCACCTGGAAACCCATCATCCCCTGGGAATCCTCGTTTCTCCTGAGTTGCATGGAAGAAGAGAAGGCATCCATTGCAGGGGAGACACAGAGGACTTAGTGTTGGAAGTAGTAACCTTCTGCAAGCCTCCTATATGGGTTGAATGAAAAGTAATGCCTCCCAAGTAACGAAGGTGGAGACCTTCGTTACTTGGGTTTGGATGGGAATATTTTAATAAATCAAATGCAGAAATGATCCTTAGAATGTCCCCTTTAACTACCACTATTCTCTTTTCCACACAATCACCAGACAATTGGATACATTTCTGCCAATGATGAACAACCACTATTCACTTTTCCACATCATCACCAGACAATTGGATGGATACATTTCTGCTAGCGATTTCTGTCAATGATGAACAGCCACTATTCGCGTTTCCATATAATCACCAGACAATTGGTTACATTTCTGCCAATGATGAACAACCACTATTCACTTTTCCACATAATCACCAGACAATTGGATACATTTCTGCCAACGATGAACAACCACTATTCACTTTTCCACATAATCACCAGACAATTGGATACATTTCTGCCAACGATGAACAACCACTATTCACTTTTTCCACATAATCACCAGACAATTGGATACATTTCTGCCAACGATGAACAACCACTATTCACTTTTTCACATAGTCACCAGCCAATTGGATGCATTTCTGCCAACACTGAACAACCACTATTCACTTTTCCACAAAATCACCAGACAATTGGATACATTTCTGCCAATGATGAACAACCACTATTCCCTTTTCCACACAATCACCAGACAATTGGATACATTTCTGCCAACGATGAACAACCACTATTCACTTTTCCACATAATCACCAGACAATTGGATACATTTCTGCCAATGATGAACAACCACTATTCACTTTTCCACATCATCATGAGACAATTGGATACATTTCTGCCAACGATGAACAACCAGTATTCACTTTTCCACACAATCATCAGACAATTGGATACATTTCTGCCAATGATGAACAACCACTATTCACTTTTCCACATCATCACCAGACAATTGGATACATTTCTGCGAACGATGAACAACCAGTATTCACTTTTCCACATCATCACCAGACAATTGGATACATTTCTGCCAACGATGAACAACCACTATTCACTTTTCCACACAATCACCAGACAATTGGATACATTTCTGCCAATGATGAACAACCACTATTCACTTTTCCACATCATCACCAGACAATTGGATACATTTCTGCCAACGATGAACAACCACTATTCACTTTTCCACAATCACCAGACAATTGGATACATTTCTGCCAATGATGAACAACCACTATTCACTTTTCCACATCATCATGAGACAATTGGATACATTTCTGCCAACGATGAACAACCACTATTCACTTTTCCACACAATCACCAGACAATTGGATACGTTTCTGCCAACGATGAACAACCACTATTCACTTTTCCACATAATCACCAGACAATTGGATACATTTCTGCCAATGATGAACAACCACTATTCACTTTTCCACATCATCATGAGACAATTGGATACATTTCTGCCAACGATGAACAACCAGTATTCACTTTTCCACACAATCATCAGACAATTGGATACATTTCTGCCAATGATGAACAACCACTATTCACTTTTCCACATCATCACCAGACAATTGGATACATTTCTGCGAACGATGAACAACCAGTATTCACTTTTCCACATCATCACCAGACAATTGGATACATTTCTGCCAACGATGAACAACCACTATTCTCTTTTCCACACAATCACCAGACAATTGGATACATTTCTGCCAACGATGAACAACCACTATTCATTTTTCCACACAATCATCAGACAATTGGATACATTTCTGCCAATGATGAACAACCACTATTCACTTTTCCACATCATCACCAGACAATTGGATGGATACATTTCTGCTAGCGATGAGCAACCACTATTCACTTTTTGACATAATCACCAGACAATTGGATACATTTCTTCCAACAATTAACAAGTTTTCTGAAGCCGTCACGGAAGACGTTGACACTCTGTTTCCACAACCAACGTCTCACAGTTCTCTCAAAGTCTTCATCAGAAGCATCATGATGTCCCCGCAGATCATCTTTCATTATCGGGAGCAGATGGAAGTCAGACGGTGATAAATCTGGACTGTATGGAGGATGTCGTACAGTGGTGAGAGCCAGTCTCTGAAGTTTCAAGTCTGTGCGCTTTCCTTTCAGGCGTCAGCATCCTGGGTCCCCGTCGTGCACAGATCTTCCGATAGCCAAGCAAAGCAATAATGTGACCCACACGTTCTTGTGAAATGCCGATTATGCTTGAAATTTCTCTCTGAGCGATACGACGATAGTCCTGAATCAGTCTGTCAACCTTTTGCTTGTGAAACTCAGTGGTTGCTGTCACAGGACGTCCAACTCTTTGTTTGACACGCATATGTTCCCACCTCAACATCTTTAAACTTACTGCACAGTACTCACATCAACACAATCATCATAAACAGCTTGCATTCTCTGATGAATCTCCATTGGGGTGACACCTTCTGCTGTCAAGAATTCAATGACTGCACGTTGCTTAAGTCGCATTGACCGACCTTATGCGCAGGGTTCCATGCTTTGCAGTTTAACAACACAACTGTTCAATGCTAAGGCTTCCCACCAAAATGGAACTGTAGAGAAGAGTCTACTGAACAAGCCAGTACCTGCCGCATACCAGTACTATCATCTGTTGAGTAGTTACGAAGGTGGAGGCATTACTTTTCATTCAACCGTCGTATTATACAGAGCCCTTCCACACAGCCCTATATCCCAGAAAGATCAAGGCAGAAAATCCCACAATATCTGCTTTGAACTGGGTTATCTGAGTCCACACTCAGATAATGTGGGATCTCCTCCCATGATATTCTGGGATATAGGGCTGTGGGGAAGGAAGAAAAGAGAGGAAGGAAGGGGAGGAGGGAAAGTGAGGAAGGAAAGAGACACACACAAAGAGAGGCTGCCCACCATAATTCAGTGGATAATCTGAATTCAGAAACAGCATTATATGGCGGTGTAGATCCAGCCTGAGGTAGTATTTGCATATGATTCTGTTTTGCTTACTGCACTGAGTGTATATGTATGTTCTGGTATGCAGCTTTCTTTTTTTATACCACAAGATCAGATCTGAGACTGTCCTGAGCTCAGACTCCATTTTAGAAAGATAGGCTCCATTAGACTCCCAGAATGTAAAAATGCTGCTGCTGATTCTAAGCAGATAATCTGGATTCAGAAAACTGCATTATATTGCAGTGTAGATCCAGCCTGAGGTAGTATTTGCATATGATTCTGTTTTGCTTACTGTACTGTATATGTATGTTCTGCTCTGCAGCTTTCTTTTACTATACTACAAGATCATATCTGAGACTTCCCTGAGCTCAGACTCCATTTTAAAAAGATAGACTCCATTAGACTCCCAGAATGTAAAGATGCTGCTGTTGATTCTAAGCAGATAATCTGGATTCAGAAAACTGCATTATATGGCAGTGTAGATCCAGCCTGAGGTAGTATTTAGGATGGATCTACACGGCCATGTAATCCAGATTATGTGATTTGAACTGGATTATATGAGTCTACACAGCCATATAATCTAGATTCAGAAACCATGTTGTCATGGAGCCACTGTGCGTTAGGCTTCTCAGAGCTGGAGAATGGAGAAAGTGAGGAAGGAAAGAGAGATACACAAAGAGAGGCTGCCCACCATAGTTCAAAGTAGATAATCCGAATTCAGAAACGGAATTATATGGCAGCGTAGGTCCAACCTGAGGTAGTATTTGCATATGATTCTGTTTTGCTTGCTGTACTATATATGTATATTCTGGTATGTAGCTTTCTTTTACTATGCCAGAAGATCAGATCTGAGACTGTCCTGAGCTCAGACTCCATTTTAGAAAGATAGACTCCATTAGACTCTTAGAATGTAAAGATGTTGCTGTTGATTCTAAGCAGATAATCTGAATTCAGAAACGGCATTATATGGCAGTGTAGATCCAGCCTGAGGTAGTATTTGCATATGATTCTGTTTTGCTTACTGCACTGAGTGTATATGTATGTTCTGGTATGCAGCTTTCTTTTACTATACCACAAGATCAAATCTGAGACTGCCCTGAGCTCAGACTCCATTTTAAAAAGATAGACTCCATTAGACTCCCAGAATGTAAAGATGTAAAATACTCGTATATACGTACACGAATAACATTGTATATGGAAAGTGTCTTCCTCTTTGTTAAATCTCAGCCAGCTAACAGGTTTTAGAAGCAACTTCTCTCAAAAAATCCAGAATAACTCAATTATGTTTTGATCTCTTCCCAGGTAATGAAGGAGACAACTTCTATGTGATTGATCAAGGAGAAGTGGATGTAAGTTGTCATTTGTTTCTTGCCCAAAGGAATGTGAAGTTTCCCCCGTGGGGTCAGGGCACCTTCACGGAAATGATTCAGTTGCTACACTGTACTTGCATTTTCCAGATTTAAGCAGCCATGTTGAAGGAAAGCAGGCAAAATCTGTGACTTTTGGACTCTGAGACTCCCTTTCCTTTGCAACTGATCAATTTGTGGCCTTTTTGGTTCTGTTACCCTGGCATAAGGCCCCATCTACACTGCCATAGAATTCTAGTTTCTGAATCCACATTATCTGCTTTGAACTGGATTATTGTGGACTCATCTAATCTAGTTCAAAGTGGATAATCCCAATTCAGAAACGGCATTATATGGCAGTGTAGATCCAGCCTGAGGTAGTATTTGCATATGATTCTGTTTTGCTTATTGTGCTGTATATGTATGTTCTGGTATGCAGCTTTCTTTTACTATACCGTAAGATCAGATCTGGGACTGCCCTGAGCTCAGACTCCATTTTAGAAAGATAGACAACATTAGACTCTCAGAATGTAAAGGCGCTGCTTTTGATTCTAAGCAAATAATCTGGATTCAGAAAACTGTATAGTATTTAGGATGGATCTACACTGCCATATAGTCCAGATTATGAAATCCGATAATCCAGATTATATTATTTCAACTGGATCATATGAGTCTACATTTCCATATAATTGGATTCAGAAACTGCATTATATGGCAGTGTAGATCCAGCATGAGGTAGCATTTAGGCTGGATCTGCACTGCCATGTAATCCAGATTATGAAATCATATAATCCAGATTATGTCATTTGAACTGGTTTATATGAGTCTACATTGCCATATAATTGGATTCAGAAACTGCATTATATGGCAGTATAGATCCAGCATGAGGTAGTATTTAGGATGGATCTACACTGCCATGTAATCCAGATTATGAAATCAGATAATCCAGATTATGTGATTTGTAACTGGATCGTATGAGTCTACACTGCCATATAATTAGATTCAGAAACTGCATTATATGGCAGTGTAGATCCAGCCTGAGGTAGTATTTAGGATGGATCTATACTGCCGTGTAATCCAGATTGTGTGATTTGAACTGGATTATATGAGTCTACACTGCCATATAATCTAGATTCAGAAACTACATTATATGGCAGTGTAGATCCAGCATGAGGTAGTATTTAGGATGGAGCTACACTGCCATACAGTCCAGATTATGAAATCCAATAATCCAGATTATATGATTTTTACTGGATTATATGAGTCTACACTACCATATAATCTAGATTCAGAAACTGCATTATATGGCAGAGTAGCTCCAGCATGAGGTAGTATTTAGAATGGATCTACACTGCCTTATATTCCAGATTATGAAATCCGATAATCCAGATTATATGATTTGAACTGGATGATATGAGTCTACACTGCCATATAATGCAGTTCATTGCAGTTAAACTGCATTATATGGCTGTGGAGATGAAGATCCCTTCTACACTGACATATAATCCAGATCTTCAAAGCCGACAATCCACACTATCTGCTTTGAACTGGATTGTATGAGTCTACACTGCCAGGTAATCCAGTTCAAAGCAGATATATTGGATTTTGTACAGCAGCGTAGAAGGGTATTGTACCCACAGATTCTGCACCCATAGATTCAAACAAAAAGAAAACATTTCTCTTTTCTTGAAGTTGATTTTGCCTTTGGGAGTATCCACTCGTTCAAGTTAGGAATGGTGGTGAAGTCAATATGGACTTTAGGAGGGTCTCCCCAGTAAGAGAGACCCCTAGGACCGCACCAAAGAGGGTCTATGACCTTGGCGAGCCGTCAGAGAAGCCTGATTCCAGCAATTTTATTAATATTAATAATTGAAATGAGACTCTTGCCAAGGCGAAGAAGAGGCATCGAGGTTTAATGAGCGATTCAGCTGAGTCGGATGCAAATGCGGGGATAGCTCACCCACAAGCATACCAGTACATTGATCAGAGGCATATTTATAGCAAATTCAAAGTTGCAGAGTTCAAACTCCCCGCCCCGGCTTCCCTGTTGTTCCCTGCCCCCGGTGCCTCTGGACCAGTCAGGAAGCTCCAGTGGTCCGTAGGAACCAATGGGGAGACCTCTGCCACCTGGTGGCGACAGCCAATCAGGAGAAATGGAGGCGGGATGAGGGAGCACAAAGGAATCTGGGAAAGGAGTAAACAAAGGAAATGCCATGTGGCCGGCGAGACAAAGGGGAAATCTCAAGCCAGCCTGATCTATCAACATGTGTAGACTGGGGTGATTGTTTCTTGGTGGAGATAGCTGAGTTAATCAGAGCGAAGGCAAAAGGTTTTTTCGAGGACCTTTTGTCCTTCAGGAGGAAATATGATTAAGATTTTTGCCAAAGGGGCAAGCTGAGGGCTGGGCAATTCCTCCGAGGGCCACCAGCTGCCCAGGCTATTGTTCATGCAAAAGGAAGTTGTGGATAAAAAAATCCTGGAATGTTTGGGGCTTTGTAGTCCCTTTTGTGGAGTTTCTTCATGTATATAGGGGAAACAAAGGTCAGAAGAAAAGGGGAAAGGCTTCTGCCACACAAAGAAATCAGAAAACACATTTCATACATCTAAAGTTCATAAAAGGCAAGATTTCATAAGGTTTGTCCATGTGGGGGGAAAGAGTGTCCATAGGGGATGGCTAAAACGCAAGGGTGTTGCACAAAGGTCCTGGCAGGAGTTCTTGAGTGGCCCAAATGGACCTGGTGTCTCTGGAAACAAGCTTTGCTCCCCGTCCTTGGAGAACTACAGCTCCCGAGAGAGGCAGAGGCCCCAAGGTCTAGCTATTCCCGAAGTTTCATGGGGTCCTCATTGTTGTTAAGGCCTTGGCAAATTGACCAAGACTTAACCCCTATTGTGCAGTCTGGTACCTTTGTCCTTTGCAGAACTATAAGTCACCATCCCTTGTTGGGGGGGGGCATGCTCGATGTCATTGGGAGTTGAAGTCCAAAACACCTAGAAGGAAGGCTGAAGTTTGTCCAGGCCTGTGCGAAAGGAATGTTTCCAAACCCTGGTCTGAATGGAAGTGGTTTTCCCAGGCGGCGCTTTTGGGGTGTGCCAAGCTTATTTGTCCGTACGAAGTAGGTTAATGGGGTATCAGATACAAACAAATTACTCTAGGTTTGGAGGCCCTGCTCACGCACCTGGAGGCAACATTCCTGCCGCTGAAAGCTCAGCGTGGAATGCACCTCAGGCCCCCTCTTTGCAGTAATCGCCCCGGTTTGATTACACAGCATGCATGTCTTCCCTCTTCAAAAAGGAGTGGGAGCCCCAGGCAGAGAGGGTTCCCTTCTCAAAGATCTCCATTGGCTTCTCTTGTAAATCCCCCCCAAATTGGAGAACTACAATTATGGAAAAGGAGCTTAGGCGGTCATCCGAGTAGGACTGTTTTCCAAGATCGGTGTCCTTGTGGTGGGTCCGTAGGTGATTGTGGAGCCCTATTGTGCACAACGTCGTCTGTGTGCATTCAGATCTACAATCTACTCTAAACACCTTCGCAGAAGCATATGAGAAGCTCAGCCTGTCACTGAACATGGAGAAAACCAAAGTCCTCTCCCAGCAGTCACCAGCCAATCCCTCTGCAATGCAAGAAATACATCTTAATGGCGTAACATTAGAAAATGTTGATCACCCCTCTATTCTGCTCTGGTTAGACCACACCTGGAATATTGTGTCCAATTCTGGGCACCACAATTCAAGAGAGATATTGACAAGCTGGGATGTGTCCAGAGGAGGGCAACTAAAATGATCAAGGGTCTGGAGAACAAGCCCTATGAGGAGCGGCTTAAGGAGCTGGGCATGTTTAGCCTGAAGAAGAGAAGGCTGAGAGGGGATATGATGGCCATGTATAAATATGTGAGAGGAAGCCACAGGGAGGAGGGAGCAAGCTTGTTTTCTGCTTCCTTGGAGACTAGGACGCAAGGAACAATGGCTTCAAACTACAAGAGAGGAGATTCCATCTGAACACGAGGAAGACCTTCCTGACTGTGAGAGCCGTTCAGCAGTGGAACTCTCTGCCCCGGAGTGTGGTGGAGGCTCCTTCTTTGGAAGCTTTTAAGCAGAGGCTGGATGGCCATCTGTCAGGGGTGATTTGAATGCAATATTCCTGCTTCTTGGCAGAATGGGGTTGGACTGGATGGCCCAGGAGGTCTCTTCCAACTCTTTGATTCTATGATTCTAATGTAATATAGCTGAGTCACTTCTCCTCAAAAGTCAACATTGACACTGAAATACTACACCGCCTGAGCTCTGCGAGTGCAGCATTTTTCCGAATGAAGCAGAGAGTGTTTGAGGAACGGGACATCCGCAGGGATGCCAAGGGGCTTGTCTATAAAGCTATTGTCCTCCCAACCCTGCTATATGCCTGCGAAATGTGGACTGTCTACAGACGTCACATGCAACTTCTGAAATGATTCCATCAGCGTTGCCTCCAAACATCTTGCAAATCTCTTGGGAAGACAAGCAGACAAATATCAGTGTTCTGGAAGATATCCGTAAGGAGACCAAGGTGCTGGTTTATAAAGCTATTCCCCTCCCAACCCTGCTAAATGCCTGCGAGACGTGGACTGTCTACAGATGTCACATGCAACTCCTGGAACGATTCCATCAGCGCTGCCTCCGGAAAATCCTGCAAATCTCTTGGAAACACAGGTGGACAAACGTCAGCATGCTGGAAGAAGCAAAGACCACCAGCATTGAAGCAATGGTCCTCCGCCATCAACTCCGCTGGACCGGCCACGTTGTCCGGATGCCTGACCAACATCTCCCAAAGCAGTTGCTCTACTCCAAACTCAAGAACGGAAAACGGAATGTTGGTGGGCAGGAAAAGAGATTTAAAGACGGGCTCAAAGCCAACCTTAAAAACTCTGGCATAGACACTGAGGACTAGGAAGCCCTGGCCCTTGAGCGTTCCAGCTGGAGGTCTGCTGTGACCAGCAGTGCTGCAGAATTTGAATAGGCACGAATGGAGG